GCAGGCTTTGTGTAAACAAGCGTCACTGCTGCGCAGCCAGACAAGCCGTGAACCAGAGCTACCTAATTCAATTCCCTCCTCAGAGCAATTAAACCCCAGCATTTCTAGGCCATGTAGATGGCTGGTTACTTACTGCTTCTAGAAAAGGCAGAGGTGAATGCTGGTGCCAGTGGGACCTGGGTTTACACTTCACAATGCCCAGTCTGAACAAACATCGTGCTGCAGGCAATAAAAAAGAGCAAGTCTGGGCCCTATGTAAATAATAATAATGTCACATGAACAGCCAGACTACCTGGAGTCCAAAACAACAGAAGCTAGTGACCAGTAATGGTGAAAACACTCTTGCCGATGAACCAAACCCAGGGGAGAGCTCTGCTTCAGCACCTAGACAATCATCCAACAGGCACAGAGCAAAGCGGACCCACTTTGCTCCCTATGCAGTTTAAGCCTCCAAAGCATGACTAGAAGAGCACCCTGAGCCGTAGGGGCTCACCCTCCCCTCCCAATGGGCTCCCTGTCCTCAGGGCGGGCGAGGAGCTGGGGACTCTGCTGCAGGAACGCTGGTGGCACCCAGCACAGCCCAAACAAACTCTGCACCGCTGCCTGTGCTGTTCCACCGGCTCATCCAGATGCCTCGCAAAATAATCCAGAACCCACTGCCTAAAACGCACAGGACCGAGCAAACATAATGTGAATTTAACAAAGAACTTACAATCAGTTCCTCAGACAGATGCACATTTTCTGAAACTTTTCCAAGTCACTCTCTATAATGTGATGACTTGTTATTACACATCGGGAGGAGCTGGGAGATAATGAACACTGATATGAGCTTCTCTTAGGCCATTTTGAACTGAAATCCAGGTAAGTGATGATATTCCCCAGCGCACTGAGAACACCGCACAGCAGGTTCCAGCACAGCGGCAGCTGCACCATGGGGAAGCAGATCTGCTCCCCCAGCGCCTCCGGCCTCCACCAAACCCGCTGTGACAAAGCGCTGGGTTCACTCCACAGAGGTGGGGGGAGCAGGGGCAGCCAAGATGGCACGGAAACCTCACCTGAGGGGGGGAAGCAGAGGGGCTGTGCCCCCTCCCTTTCAGGCCCTGAGAGAGCCCAGGCAGGCAGGAAGCCCCTGGCACTCCCTCCTCTTCTGCAGTGGTGATGGCAGGGATGGGGCTAACGCAGGCCAGGGACCTGCTGCCAAATGCTGCCCAGGCCCTGGCTCACCGTGCCGGGGCCTGCTGCAGGGAGGCCCAGCTGTCCCGGCAGGAACTCGAGCAGCAGCAGGGTCGGCCTGGGAGAGGCCAAGGACGGGGCCCTGGGGGTCCCTGGCACCACCGCAGGAGGCGGGCTGGGTGCCTCTACCCACAGCGTGGTGCAGCTGGGCAGACCCCCTCAGCCTGACAGCACCCCATCCTCGACAGGAGGAAGAAGGGCACCTTTGTTGGAGCCATTTGCGGTCCCACTCAGCACGGCAGGGGGGAGGGGAAACGGTATCAATCCTCACTTTGTGCCGGCTCACACAAAGCCCCTCTATGGCGGCCGCAGCAGCTAAGCACAGAGAATGGGACTTTCCGCCTCGAGAGGGCGGGAGGTGGAAGCCACGGG